CCCCTACCAACACCACCATCATCACCCCTACCAACACCACCATCATCACCCCTACCAACACCACCATCATCACCCCTACCATCATCATCACCCCTACCAACACCACCACCATCACCCCTATCAACACCACCACCATCACCCCTATCAACACCATCACCATCATCACCCCTACCAACACCACCATCATCACCCCTACCAACACCACCACCATCATCACCCCTACCAACTGCACCATCATCACCCCTACCAACACCACCATCATCGCATTTAACGAACGCCTCCTTAGGGTTATGGGAAGACAAAGGCGGCCGGGCGTGGTCCAGGCCACGCCTGGCCCTGATAGGTGCTCGCTAACAGCACTCGCCCCAACAGCCCCTGTGGGCTACTCGGGGGATCTTTGTCTGTTTCATGAATGATGGTGGTGAATGTTAGTGATGCTGATGCTAGTGATGGTGATGATGTTAGTGATGGTGATGTTAGCGATGGTGATGTTAGCGATGGTGATGTTAGCGATGGTGATGTTAGCGATGGTGATACTAGTGATGGTGATGCTAGTGATGGTGATGCTAGTGATGGCGATGTTAGTGATGGTGATGATGTTAGTGATGTTAGTGATGGTGATGATGTTAGTGATGGTGATGCTAGCGATGGTGATGTTAGCGATGGTGATGTTAGCGATGGTGATGCTAGTGATGGTGATGCTAGCGATGGTGATGATGTTAGTGATGGTGATGCTAGCGATGGTGATGTTAGTGATGGTGATGATGTTAGTGATGGTGATGCTAGCGATGGTGATGTTAGCGATGGTGATGTTAGCGATGATGATGTTAGTGATGGTGATGCTAGCGATGATGATGCTAGCGATAGTGATGTTAGCGATGGTGATGTTAGCGATGGCGATGTTAGTGATGGTGATGATGTTAGTGATGGTGATGCTAGTGATGGTGATGTTAGTGATGGTGATGATGTTAGCGATGGTGATGTTAGTGATGGTGATGCTAGTGATGGTAATGATGTTAGTGATGGTGATGCTAGTGATGGTGATGTTAGTGATAGTGATGATGTTAGCGATGGTGATGTTAGCGATGGTGATGTTAGTGATGGTGATGCTAGTGATGCTAGTGATGATGATGTTAGTGATGGTGATGATGTTAGTGATGGTGATGTTAGTGATGGTGATGATGTTAGTGATGGTGATGCTAGTGATGGTGATGTTAGTGATGGTGATGATGTTAGCGATGGTGATGTTAGTGATGGTGATGCTAGTGATGGTGATGATGTTAGTGATGGTGATGCTAGTGATGGTGATGTTAGTGATGGTGATGATGTTAGCGATGGTGATGTTAGCGATGGTGATGTTAGTGATGGTGATGCTAGTGATGCTAGTGATGATGATGTTAGTGATGGTGATGTTAGTGATGGTGATGCTAGTGATGCAAGTGATGATGATGATGTTAGTGACGTGATAATTACGGTGGTCATTGTGCGTGGGGCGTGCGTGATGGCGATGGGGGGAGGTGATCGTCCAGGTTCGATCCACTGCTGTATGAAGATCAGTGTTACGATGAAGATGTCTCTACCCTGCGTGTGTTCTCTAATCCACGGGGATTTGATGTCATCGACATAATGACCATGCTGTGTCCACTGCTGGATGAAAGCCTCCCGCAGGCTCAGCGTCACAGCAGGTTGAGCCGACTCACCTCCAGCGACTGTTGCTGTTGTAGCCGAAGTTGTGGTAGTTGTAGTTTAGTTGTTGCGATAGTTGCAGTAGGCAGTAGTTCTTGCTGTGGAAGTTGCTGGGTGGCTTTCGATGTCGGAGTCTCACTTGGAGACGAAGGCGCTTAGAGAAATCCCAGCCTCGGAACTCGACTCGCCATCACTTCGCTCCACTCGCCATCACACGAAAACTCCACACCCCGTCTCACACATTCCTACCCCAGCTCCTCCCCCCTCCATCTCCCCCCTGCCTCCATCTCTCTCTCTCAATCTCCCCCCTGCCCCCCCCCTCTCTCCATCTCCCTCCTGCCCCCCCTCTCTCTCCATCTCCCCTCCTGCCCCCCCCTCTCTCTCTCTCCATCTCCCTCCTGCCCCCCCCCATCTCTCTCCATCTCCCCTCCTGCCCCCCCTCTCTCTCTCCATCTCCCTCCTGCCCCCCCTCTCTCTCCATCTCCCCCTGCCCCCCCTCTCTCTCCATCTCCCTCCTGCCCCCTCTATCTCTCCATCTCCCCCCTGCCCCCCCTCTCTCTCTCCATCTCCCTCCTGCCCCCCCCTCTCTCTCCATCTCCCTCCTGCCCCTCCTCTCTCTCCATCTCCCCTCCTGCCCCCCCTCTCTATCTCTCTCCATCTCCCTCCTGCCCCCCCTCTCTCTCTCCTGCCCCCCCCTCTCTCTCTCCTGCCCCCCCTCTCTCTCCATCTCCCCCCTGCCCCCCCTCTCTCCATCTCCCTCCTGCCCCCCCCTCTCTCTCCATCTCCCTCCTGCCCCCCCTCTCTCTCCATCTCCCTCCTGCCCCCCCCTCTCTCTCTCCATCCCCCCCTGCCCCCCTCTCTCTCCATCTGCCTCCTGCCCCCCCTCTCTCTCCATCTCCCCCCTGCCCCCCCTCTCTCTCTCTCTCCATCTCCCCCCTGCCCCCCTCTCTCTCCATCTCCCTCCTGCCCCCCCTCTCTCTCCATCTCCCTCCTGCCCCCCCTCTCTCTCTCCATCCCCCCCTGCCCCCCTCTCTCTCCATCTCCCCCTGCCCCCCTCTCTCCATCTCCCCCCTGCCCCCCCTCTCTCTCTCCATCTGCCCCCCCCTCTCTCTCATCATCCTCCTCTCATCTCTGCCTCTCTCCTCCCCCTCCTCCCCAACCGCACCCCCCACCCCCCCCACAGACCCACCCCGCTCACCTCGCTGTCCCCTCCCTCTCTCTCACATCCAGTCCCTCCTTGGGGCCGTCCATAAATGACGTCACGCACCTGGGGGGGGGGGGGGTCAGACATTTATGACGATGTGTGATGAGGGGGGGAGTTTGAGAAATGTGACGTCACATCAAAAGGGCGCAAATTTAAATAAATATAGACAACACGTTCTACTTAATTAAATAGACTTTTTAATAAATGTTTTCTCCTACAACATCAGAGTGCAGCGCCACATTAAATACGCACTACTACAATGACAATAGTTTAAAGCGATTTGAAGCATTTTTTTATTTTTCGGGGGGGGGGGGGGGCGGCAGAGCTTTGTGACGTCATATTTGAGGGGGGGGTCTGACTTTTTGTGACGCCGTGTGACGAAGGGGGAGGGGTCTAAAATCGTCAAAAATCGCGTGACGTCATTTATGGACGTCCACCTTCCTCCATGTCCCTCTCCTGCACCTCGCTTTCCCCAGCCTCTCACACGTAACCCCCTCTCACCTCCTCTCCCATCTCTCCTCCCTCTCTTCTCTCTCCTCCCTCTCTTCTCTCACCTCCTCTCATCTCTCCTCCCTCTCTTCTCTCACCTCCTCTCATCTCTCCTCCCTCTCTTCTCTCACCTCCTCTCTCATCTCTCCTCCCTCTCTTCTCTCACCTACTCTCATCTCCTCCCTCTCTTCTCTCACCTCCTCTCTCATCTCTCCTCCCTCTCTTCTCTCACCTCCTCTCTCATCTCTCCTCCCTCTCTTCTCTCACCTCCTCTCCTTCTCTCGCACTCCCCCTCTCCCATCAATAATTCTCCCTCTCTCCTCCATCTGCCTCTCTGCTCCCTCGATCCTGTATCTCAAAACATTCACCGGCTGAATTTCAGATATACAACAGGTGTGACTGACAGGGTGGGTCTCTGTGTGAGTCTATGGGTCTCTGTGTGAGTCTATGGGTCTCTATGTGAGTATATGGGTCTCTGTGTGACTGACAGGGTGGGTCTCTGTGTGAGTCTATGGGTCTCTGTGTGGGTCTATGGGTCTCTGTGTGAGTCTATGGGTCTCTGTGTGACTGATAAGGTGGGTCTCTGTGTGAGTCTATGGGTCTCTGTGTGATTGACAGGGGGGTCTCTGTGTGAGTCTATGGGTCTCTGTGTGATTGACAGGGGGGTCTCTGTGTGAGTCTATGGGTCTCTGTGTGATTGACAGGGGGGGGGTCTCTGTGTGAGTCTATGGGTCTCTGTGTGAGTCCATGGGTCTCTGAGTGAGTCTATGGGTCTCTGTGTGACTGACAGGGTGGGTCTCTGTGTGCGTCTATGGGTCTCTGTGTTAGTCTATGGGTCTCTGTGTGAGTCTATGGGTTTCTGTGTGAGTCTATGGGTCTCTGTGTGAGTCTATGGGTTTCTGTGTGAGTCTATGGGTCTCTGTGTGAGTCTGTGGGTCTCTGTGTGAATCTATGGGTCTCTGTGTGAGTCTATGGGTCTCTGTGTGAGTCTATGGGTTTCTGTGTGAGTCTACGGGTCTCTGTGTGAGTCTATGGGGCTCCGACAAGGGGCGTGGAGTGAGGGGTGGGGTCACGTGACGTATTAGCTCCGCCCACGAGGCCTAGCTCCGTGCGAAGCCTAAACTGAGAAAGTCTCATATAGGCACAGACATCGCCAGTTTACACAAAGACACACACACATAGACACACACATAGACACACACAGAGACACACACAGAGACACACACATAGACACACACAGAGACAACGACACACACAGAGACAACGACACACACAGAGACAACGACACACACAGAGACAACGACACACACAGAGACAACGACACACACAGAGACAACGACACACACAGACACACACACACAGACTCACACACACAGACTCACACAGAGACAACGACACATAGAGAGAGGCACACATAGACACACAGACAAAGACACAGAGAGAAAGACACAGAGACACACACATAGACACATAGACACACACATAGACAGGCACACATAGACACACACAGACAAAGACACACACAGACAAAGACACACACAAAGACACAGAGAGACACAGACACACACACAGACAAAGACACACACAGACAAAGACACACACAGACAAAGACACACACAAAGACACAGAGAGACACAGACACACAGACAAAGACACACACAGACAAAGACACACACAGAGAGACACAGACACACACAGACAAAGACACACACAGAGAGACACACAGACAGACAAGGGGTAGGCGCTGCTCCATCCGCACATCCGGCCCAGCCAGAGTCGGTGAGAGTCTTAAAGAGTGAAACTCGCTCTATGGATGTCTATGGGTCTCTGTGAGTCTAAGAGTGAAACTCGCTCTATGGATGTCTGTGGGTCTCTGTGAGTCTAAGAGTGAAACTCGCTCTATGGATGTCTGTGGGTCTCTGTGAGCCTAAGAGTGAAACTCGCTCTATGGATGTCTATGGGTCTCTGTGAGTCTAAGAGTGAAACTCGCTCTATGGATGTCTGTGGGTCTCTGTGAGTCTAAGAGTGAAACTCGCTCTATGGATGTCTGTGGGTCTCTGTGAGCCTAAGAGTGAAACTCGCTCTATGGATGTCTATGGGTCTCTGTGAGTCTAAGAGTGAAACTCGCTCTATGGATGTCTGTGGGTCTCTGTGAGTCTAAGAGTGAAACTCGCTCTATGGATGTCTGTGAGTCTCTGTGAGTCTAAGAGTGAAACTCGCTCTATGGATGTCTATGGGTCTCTGTGAGTCTAAGAGTGAAACTCGCTCTATGGATGTCTGTGGGTGTCTGTGAGTCTAAGAGTGAAACTCGCTCTATGGATGTCTATGGGTCTCTGTGAGTCTAAGAGTGAAACTCGCTCTATGGATGTTGTGAGTCTCTGAGTCTAAGAGTGAAACTCGCTCTATGGATGTCTGTGGGTGTCTGTGAGTCTAAGAGTGAAACTCGCTCTATGGATGTTGTGAGTCTCTGAGTCTAAGAGTGAAACTCGCTCTATGGATGTCTGTGGGTCTCTGTGAGTCTAAGAGTGAAACTCGCTCTATGGATGTCTATGGGTCTCTGTGAGTCTAAGAGTGAAACTCGCTCTATGGATGTCTATGGGTCTCTGTGAGTCTAAGAGTGAAACTCGCTCTATGGATGTCTGTGAGTCTCTGTGAGTCTAAGAGTGAAACTCGCTCTATGGATGTATGTGGGTGTCTGTGAGTCTAAGAGTGAAACTCGCTTTATGGATGTCTGTGGGTCTCTGTGAGTCTAAGAGTGAAACTCGCTCTATGGATGTCTGTGGGTCTCTGTGAGTCTAAGAGTGAAACTCGCTTTATGGATGTCTGTGGGTCTCTGTGAGTCTAAGAGTGAAACTCGCTCAATGGATGTCTGAGTCTCTGTGAGTCTAAGAGTGAAACTCGCTCTATGGATGTCTATGGGTCTCTGTGAGTCTAAGAGTGAAACTCGCTCTATGGATGTCTGTGGGTCTCTGTGAGTCTAAGAGTGAAACTCGCTCTATGGATGTCTATGAGTCTCTGTGAGTCTAAGAGTGAAACTCGCTCTATGGATGTCTATGAGTCTCTGTGAGTCTTAAAGAGTGAAACTCGCTCTATGGATGTCTGTGGGTCTCTGTGAGTCTAAGGGTGAAACTCGCTCTATGGATGTCTGTGAGTCTCTGTGAGTCTTAAAAAGTGAAACTCGCTCTATGGATGTCTGTGAGTCTCTGTGAGTCTAAGAGTGAAACTCGCTCTATGGATGTCTGTGGGTCTCTGTGAGTCTAAGAGTGAAACTCGCTCTATGGATGTCTGTGGGTCTCTGTGAGTCTAAGAGTGAAACTCGCTCTATGGATGTCTATGAGTCTCTGTGAGTCTAAGAGTGAAACTCGCTCTATGGATGTCTGTGGGTCTCTGTGAGTCTTAAAAAGTGAAACTCGCTCTATGGATGTCTGTGGGTCTCTGAGTCTAAGGGTGAAACTCGCTCTATGGATGTCTATGGGTCTCTGTGAGTCTAAGAGTGAAACTCGCTCTATGGATGTCTGTGGGTCTCTGTGAGTCCAAGAGTGAAACTCGCTCTATGGATGTCTGTGGGTCTCTGTGAGTCTTAAAAAGTGAAACTCGCTCTATGGATGTCTATGGGTCTCTGTGAGTCTAAGAGTGAAACTCGCTCTATGGATGTCTGTGAGTCTCTGTGAGTCTAAGAGTGAAACTCGCTCTATGGATGTCTGTGGGTCTCTGTGAGTCTCAGAGTGAAACTCGCTCTATGGATGTCTGTGGGTCTCTGTAAGTTTATCTCTGTGAGTTTGTCTTTGTGATTTTGTCTCTGTTATTTTGTCTTCGTGAGTTTATCTCTGTGAGTTTATCTCTGTGAGTTTGTCTCTGTGAGTTTGTCTCTGTGAGATTGTCTCTGTGAGTTTGTATTTGTGAGTTTGTCTTTGTGAGTTTGTCTCTGTGAGTTTGTCTCTGTGAGTTTGTATTTGTGAGTTTGTCTTTGTGAGTTTGTCTCTGTGAGTTTATCTCTGTGAGTTTATCTCTGTGGGTTTGTCTTTGTGAGTTTGTCTCTGTGAGTTTGTCTCTGTGAGTTTGTCTTTGTGAGTTTATCTCTGTGAGTTTGTCTTTGTGATTTTGTCTCTGTGATTTTGTCTTCGTGAGTTTATCTCTGTGAGTTTATCTCTGTGAGTTTGTCTCTGTGAGTTTGTCTCTGTGAGTTTGTCTCTGTGAGTTTGTATTTGTGAGTTTGTCTTTGTGAGTTTGTCTCTGTGAGTTTATCTCTGTGAGTTTATCTCTGTGAGTTTATCTTTGTGAGTTTGTCTCTGTGAGTTTGTCTCTGTGAGTTTGTCTTTGTGAGTTTGTCTCTGTGAGTTTGTCTTTGTGAGTTTGTCTCTGTGAGTTTATCTCTGTGAGTTTGTCTTCGTGAGTTTATCTCTGTAAGTTTGTCTTTGTGAGTTTGTCTCTGTAAGTTTATCTCTGTGAGTTTGTCTCTGTGAGTTTGTCTTTGTGAGTTTGTCTCTGTAAGTTTGTCTTTGTAAGTTTGTCTTTGTGAGTTTGTCTCTGTAAGTTTGTCTCTGTGAGTTTGTCTCTGTAAGTTTGTCTTTGTGAGTTTGTCTCTGTGAGTTTGTCTTTGTGAGTTTGTCTCTGTGAGTTTGTCTTTGTGAGTTTGTCTTTGTGAGTTTGTCTCTGTGAGTTTGTCTTTGTGAGTTTGTCTCTGTGAGTTTGTCTCTGTGAGTTTGTCTTTGTGAGTTTGTCTTTGTGAGTTTGTCTTTGTGAGTTTGTCTTTGTGAGTTTGTCTTTGTGAGTTTGTCTTTGTGAGTTTGCCTTCGTGAGTTTGTCTTTGTGAGTTTGTCTTTGTGAGTTTGTCTCTGTGAGTTTGTCTCTGTGAGTTTATCTCCGTGAGTTTGTCTTTGTGAGTTTGTATTTGTGAGTTTATCTCTGTGAGTTGTTTATCTCTGTAAGTTTGTCTCTATAAGTTTGTCTTTGTGAGTTATTTATCTCTGTGAGTTGTTTATCTCTGTGAGTTGTTTATCTCTGTGAGTTTATCTCTGTGAGTTTGTCTTTGTGAGTTGTTTATCTCTGTGAGTTTGTCTTTGTGAGTTGTTTATCTCTGTGAGTTGTTTATCTCTGTAAGTTTGTCTCTGTGAGTTTGTCTTTGTGAGTTGTTTATCTCTGTGAGTTTGTCTTTGTGAGTTGTTTATCTCTGTGAGTTGTTTATCTCTGTGAGTTTGTCTTTGTGAGTAGTTTATCTCTGTGAGTTGTTTATCTCTGTGAGTTTGTCTTTGTGAGTAGTTTATCTCTGTGCGAGTGTCTGGGTTGAGTTCGCCACGGACGCTATCGAAGTTGGCCGTGATGATGATGGTGCTTATTAAGGTAGTGATGGTGTTGATGGTGATGTTAACAATGTTGAGTGGTGGTGATGATGAAAGTGATGTTCATGTTGATGTTTGTGACAATGTTGACCACGGATGAGCACGGTTGGCTATGTTGATGACGATGATGTTGATGGTGTTAGTGATTAAGTTAGTTATGATATTGGTATGCTGGTGATGAAGTTGGTGATGGTGTGAATGATGATGTTAGCATGTTGGTGTTGATGTGAGTGATGATGATAATGTGAGTGATGATGATGATGTGAGTGGTGATGATGAAGATGTGAGTGATGATGATGATGATGTGAGTGATGATGATGATGTGAGTGATGATGATGTGAGTGATGATGATGTGAGTGATGATGATGTGAGTGATGATGATGTGAGTGATGATGATGTTAGCATGTTGATGATAAATGTGAGTGATGGTGTGAGTGATGGTGTGAGTGATGATGATGATGTGAGTGATGATGATAATGAAGTGAGTGATGATGATGTGAGTGATGATGATGTGAGTGATGTAAGTGATGATGATGTGAGTGATGATGATGATGATGATGTGAGTGATGATGTTGATGTAAGTGATGATGTGAGTAATGATGATGATGTGAGTGATGATGATGTGAGTGATGATGTGAGTGATGATGATGATGATGTGAGTGATGATGTGAGTGATGATGATGATGATGATGTAAGTGATGATGTGAGTGATGATGATGATGTGAGTGATGTAAGTGATGATGATGTGAGTGATGATGATGTGAGTGATGATGATGATGTAAGTGATGATGTGAGTGATGATGATGATGTAAGTGATGATGTGAGTGATGATGATGTGAGTGATGATGATGTGAGTGATGATGATGATGTAAGTGATGATGTGAGTGATGATGATGATGTAAGTGATGATGTGAGTGATGATGATGATGTGAGTGATGATGATGATGTGAGTGATGATGATGTGAGTGATGATGATGTGAGTGATGATGATGATGTAAGTGATGATGATGATGTGAGTGATGATGATGTGAGTGATGATGATGTGAGTGATGATGATGATGTAAGTGATGATGTGAGTGATGATGATGTGAGTGATGATGATGATGTGAGTGATGATGATGTGAGTGATGATGATGATGTAAGTGATGATGATGATGTGAGTGATGATGATGTGAGTGATGATGATGATGTAAGTGATGATGTGAGTGATGATGATGTGAGTGAGTGATGATGATGTGAGTGATGATGATGATGTAAGTGATGATGTGAGTGATGATGATGATGATGTAAGTGATGATGATGATGATGTGAGTGATGATGATGATGTAAGTGATGATGTGAGTGATGATGATGATGATGTAAGTGATGATGATGATGTAAGTGATGATGTGAGTGATGATGATGTGAGTGATGATGATGTAAGTGATGATGTGAGTGATGATGATGATGTGAGTGATGATGTTGGCGCCCCCAGGGTGCCATGAACGCTCTCTCAGCGCTCCCCATGGTCGAGCTGCCCCGCTACGAGCCGCCCCCCCCCTGGATCCCCAAGCGGGAGGTGAGCCCCAGGGGGTCGAGGTCACGAGGTCACGAGGTCACGAGCTGCGGGTCACGTAGGTCAGGATGATGGGTCAGGATGAGGGATACGATTGGCGCGTGCGTGTGTGTGTGTGTCTGTGTGTGTGTGTCTGTGTGTGTGTCTGTGTGTGTGTGTGTCTGTGTGTGTGTGTCTGTGTGTGTGTCTGTGTCTGTGTGTGTGTCTGTGTGTGTGTCTGTGTGTGTCTGTGTGTGTGTCTGTGTGTCTGTGTGTATGTCTCTGTGTGTCTCTGTGTGTGTGTGTCTGTGTGTGTGTCTCTGTGTGTCTCTGTGTGTGTGTGTCTGTGTGTGTGTCTATGTGTGTGTGTCTATGTGTGTGTGTCTGTGTGTGTGTGTCTGTGTGTGTCTGTGTGTGTGTCTGTGTCTGTGTGTGTCTGTCTGTGTGTGTCTGTCTGTGTGTGTCTGTGTGTGTCTGTGTGTGTCTGTGTGTGTCTGCGTGTCTGTGTGTATCTGTCTGTGTGTGTGTGTCTGTGTGTCTTGTGTGTGTGTGTGTCTGTGTGTGTGTGTCTGTGTGTGTGTCTTTGTGTGCGTCTGTGTGTGCGTGTGTCACAAATCCTTGAAAGATCTGGGCAAGGTCCCATCGGTGAGCTCCACCGGCGGGCAAGGCTGCGTTGGCTGGGTCATGTAGCCCGCATGCCCAGCCACCGCATGCCTAAACAGCTTTTGTTCGGCCGGATCGAGGGGGCTAAACGGGCGCGGCACGGGCTAGAGAAGAGATGGAGTGATGTGGTACAGGAGGACGTGGAGCTGAGTGGACTTGCCGATGACTGGTACCAGCGGTGTCAAGATCGGCCTCTGTGGAGGAGGCTCGTGAAGGATGCTACTGGGCAGTTGGAGGCAGTCGCCCTCCAACAACAACGGAGGGCGGAGGAGCGACGCTCACAACAACGAGCGGAGCGCCGGGTGGCTAAAGCAAAGCAAGTTGGCACAGTAGGGGGCACAGGTGGTGCATCAGCCAGTCATCTCAGTCACTCGAACCGTGGCACCTGGGTCTGCCCCGTGACCTACTGCCAGCGGGCGTTCGACACTTCACGTGGCCTCAAGGTGCACATAGCCTGGCACAAGCGTCGTGGTGACGTCACCGCTACTTAGTAGTTCATTTATTTATTTAGTTCATAGTTCATTTATTTGGTATAGCCCTGTGTGTGTCTGTGTGTGTGTGTGTGTCTGTGTGTGTGTCTAGTGGGGAGCGGTAGTGTAGCGGTTAGCGCTACGCTGCGCTACGAACCTGGCGACCCGGGTTCGATTCCCGCTCACGGCCAACACCAGTGACGATTATCTGAACCGGTCCCGGGCCTCACCTAGGTCGACTCAGCCTCGAATGAGTACCTGGTGCGGTGGATAAAAACATCGCCACTGGGGAGACTAAGGCGGTCGGGCGTGGTGCTGGCCACCCACCCCCTCGTGTACCGTTCCGGCGTTCATAGGTGCTCGCTAACAGCACTTGCCCCTACAGTCTGTTAAGGCTACACGGGGGATCTTTGTCTTCTCTTTTTACTGTTTCCCGTGTCCCCGTGTCCTGTCTTATCGTGTCCTCACGTTTCCGTATCCCCATGTGTCCACGTGTCCCTCGTGTCTCCGTCCCCATGTGTCCACGTGTCCCTCGTGTCTCCGTCCCCATGTGTCCACGTGTTCCTCGTGTCTCCGTCCCCATGTGTCCACGTGTCCCTCGTGTCTCCGTCCCCATGTGTCCACGTGTCCCTCGTGTCTCCGTCCCCATGTGTCCACGTGTCCCTCGTGTCTCCGTCCCCATGTGTCCACGTGTCCCTCGTGTCTCCGTCCCCATGTGTCCACGTGTCCCTCGTGTCTCCGTCCCCATGTGTCCACGTGTCCCTCGTGTCTCCGTCCCCATGTGTCCACGTGTCCCTCGTGTCTCCGTCCCCATGTGTCCACGTGTCCCTCGTGTCTCCGTCCCCATGTGTCCACGTGTCCCTCGTGTCTCCGTCCCCATGTGTCCACGTGTCCCTCGTGTCTCCGTCCCCATGTGTCCACGTGTTCCTCGTGTCTCCGTCCCCATGTGTCCACGTGTCCCTCGTGTCTCCGTCCCCATGTGTCCACGTGTTCCTCGTGTCTCCGTCCCCATGTGTCCACGTGTTCCTCGTGTCTCCGTCCCCATGTGTCCACGTGTCCCTCGTGTCCCCATGTGTCCACGTGTCCCTCGTGTCCCCATGTGTCCACGTGTCCCTCGTGTCTCCGTGTCCCCCGTGTCCCCATGTGTCCACGTGTCCCTCGTGTCTCCGTGTCCCCCGTGTCCCCATGTGTCTTCATCACTCACGTCCCGTGTTCCTGCGTCTTCCTGCATCCCCGTGTCCCCGTCTCTCCTGTGTCCCCATGTCCCTGTGTCTCCTGTGTCTCTCTCGTGTCTCTCGTGTCTCTCGTGTCTCTCATTTCCCTGTGTCTCCCGTGTCTCCCGTGTCTCTCTCGTGTCTCTCGTGTCTCCCATGTCCCTGTGTCTCCCGTGTCTCCCGTGTCCCCCACGTCTCTGTGTCTCCCGTGCCCCCCATGTCTCCCGTGTGTCCTCCATGTCCCTGTGTCTCCCGTGTCCCCTGTGTCTCCCGTGTGTCCCGTGTCCCCGGTGTCTCCCGTGTGTCCCCCATGTCTCCCGTGTGTCCCGTGTCCCCCATGTCCCTGTGTCTCCCGTGTGTCCCGTGTCCCCCATGTCTCCCGTGTCCCCTGTGTCTCCTGTGTCTCCTGTGTCTCCCGTGTGTCCCGTGTCCCCTGTGTCTCCCGTGTCCCCCATGTCTCCCGTGTGTCCCGTGTCCCCTGTGTCTCCCGTGTGTCCCGTGTCCCCTGTGTCTCCCGTGTGTCCCCCATGTCTCCCGTGTCCCCCGTGTCCCCCATGTCTCCCGTGTGTCCCGTGTCCCCTGTGTCTCCTGTGTCCTCCATGTCCCTGTGTCTCCCGTGTGTCCCGTGTCCCCTGTGTCTCCCGTGTCCCCCATGTCTCCCGTGTGTCCCGTGTTCCCCATGTCTCCCGTGTCCCCATGTCTCCCGCGTCTCCCTCAGAGGTTGCGTCACCCCGATTACAACAACGACCTCAACCGCTTCCTCCCACGCACTGTGCACCTCCTGAAGCCTCCGGGTGGGCAGGTACGGAGACACGGGGAGACACGCGGAGACACGGGGAGACACGGGGAGACACGGGGAGTCACGGGGAGACACGGGGAGACACGGGGAGACACGGGGAGTCACGCGGAGACACGGGGAGACGCGCGGAGACGCGCGGAGACACGGGGAGACACGGGAAGTCACGGGGAGACACGGGGAGACACGGGGAGACACGGAGAGTCACGGGGAGTCAACGCGGAGACACGGGGAGACACGCGGAGACACGGGGAGACACGGGGAGACACGGGGAGACACGGGGAGTCACGGGGAGTCACGGGGAGACACGGGGAGAGAGGAGACACGGGGAGTCACGGGGAGTCACGGGGAGTCACGGGGAGACACGGGGAGTCACGGGTAGTCATGCGGAGACACGGGGAGTCACGGGGAGACACGGGGAGAGAGGAGACACGGGGAGACACGGGGAGTCACGGGGAGTCACGGGGAGACACGCGGAGACACGGGGAGACACGGGGAGACACGGGGAGAGAGGAGACACGGGGATTAACGGGGAGACACGGGGAGTCACGCGGAGACACGGGGAGTCACGGGGAGACACGGGGAGACACGGGGAGACACGGGGAGACACGAGGGAGATGAGGGTAGACCCGGGGAGACACGGGCCCGGGCAGAGCCACTTTAACCGCCGCTCAAGTCAAGTTTACAGCCCCTCTCTCAGTGTCTCTCTCCCCTCCCTCCCTCCCTCCCTCCCTCCCTCCCCTCCCTCCCTCCCTCCCTCCCTCCCTCCCTCCCTCCCTCCCTCCCTCCCCTCCCTCCCTCCCTCCCTCCTTCCCCTCCCTCCCTCCCTCCCCTCTCCTCCCTCCCCTCCCTCTCCTCCCTCCCCTCTCCTCCCTCCCCTCTCCTCCCTCCCTCCCCTCTCCTCTCCTCCCTCCCTCCCCCCCTCCCTCCCTCCCTCCTTCCCCTCCCCTCCCCTCCCTCCCTCCCTCCCTCCCTCCCCCTCCCTCCCCCTGCCACCACAGTTGGGGTTTAACATCCGCGGGGGGCGAGCGTCCCAGCTGGGGATCTACATCTCCAAGGTGTGCCTGCAGTGCCGGGCGTGCAGCCACGCACTGCCTCACTCATCCTGACGATGATTCACTGATGATAGCTAGGATTCACTGACGATAGCTAGGATTCACTTACGATAGCTAGGATTCACTGACGATAGCTAGGATTCACTGACGATAGCTAGGATTCACTGACGATAGCTAGGATTCACTTACGATAGCTAGGATTCACTGACGCTAGGATTCACTGACGATAGCTAGGATTCACTGACGATAGCTAGGATTCACTGACGATAGCTAGGATTCACTGACGATAGCTAGGATTCACTGACGATAGCTAGGATTCACTGACGATAGCTAGGATTCACTTACGGTAGCGAGGATTCACTGACGATAGCTAGGATTCACTGACGATAGCTAGGATTCACTGACGATAGCTAGGATTCACTTACGATAGCTAGGATTCACTGACGATAGCTAGGATTCACTCACGATAGCTAGGATTCACTTACGATAGCTAGGATTCACTGACGATAGCTAGGATTCACTGACGATAGCTAGGATTCACTTACGATAGCTAGGATTCACTGACGATAGCTAGGATTCACTCACGATAGCTAGGATTCACTTACGATAGCTAGGATTCACTGACGATAGCTAGGATTCACTTACGATAGCTAGGATTCACTGACGATAGCTAGGATTCACTTACGATAGCTAGGATTCACTGACGATAGCTAGGATTCACTGACGATAGCTAGGATTCACTTACGATAGCTAGGATTCACTTACAATAGCTAGGATTCACTGACGATAGCTAGGATTCACTCACGATAGCTAGGATTCACTTACGATAGCTAGGATTCACTGACGATAGCTAGGATTCACTGACGATAGCTAGGATTCACTTATGATAGCTAGGATTCACTGACGATAGCTAGGATTCACTTACGATAGCTAGGATTCACTGACGATAGCTAGGATTCACTGACGATAGCTAGGATTCACTTACAATAGCTAGGATTCACTGACGATAGCTAGGATTCACTGACGATAGCTAGGATTCACTTACGATAGCTAGGATTCACTGACGATAGCTAGGATTCACTGTCGATAGCTAGGATTCACTGACGATAGCTAGGATTCACTGACGATAGCTAGGATACACTTACGATAGCTAGGATTCACTGACGCTAGGATTCACTGACGATAGCTAGGATTCACTCACGATAGCTAGGATTCACTCACGATAGCTAGGATTCACTGACGATAGCTAGGATTCACTTACGGTAGCTGGGATTCACTGACGATAGCTAGGATTCACTGACGATAGCTAGGATTCACTGACGGTAGCTAGGATTCACTGACGGTAGCTAGGATTCACTGGTGGTAGCTAGGATTCACTGACGATAGCTAGGATTCACTGACGATAGCTAGGATTCACTGATAGCTAGGATACACTTACGATAGCTAGGATTCACTGACGATAGCTAGGATTCACTTACGATATCTAGGATTCTCTGACGATAGCTAGGATTCACTTACGATAGCTAGGATTCACTGACGATAGCTAGGATTCACTGACGATAGCTAGGATTCACTTACGATAGCTAGGATTCTCTGACGATAGCTAGGATTCACTTACGATAGCTAGGATTCACTTACGGTAGCTAGGATTCACTTACGATATCTAGGATTCACTTACGATAGCTAGGATTCACTTACGATAGCTAGGATTCACTGACGATAGCTAGGATTCACTAACGATAGCTAGGATTCACTGACGATAGCTAGGATTCACTGACGATAGCTAGGATTCACTTACGATAGCTAGGATTCACTGACGATAGCTAGGATTCTCTGACGATAGCTAGGATTCACTTACGATAGCTAGGATTCACTTACGATAGCTAGGATTCACTGACGATAGCTAGGATTCACTGACGATAGCTAGGATTCACTAACGATAGCTAGGATTCACTGACGATAGCTAGGATTCACTCACGATAGCTAGGATTCTCTGACGATAGCTAGGATTCACTTACGATAGCTAGGATTCACTGACGATAGCTAGGATTCACTTACGATAGCTAGGATTCACTGATGATAGCTAGGATTCACTTACGGTAGCTAGGATTCACTGACGGTAGCTAGGATTCACTTACGATAGCTAGGATACACTTAGGATATTTGCAGTGCGTTGTGTGTGTTTGTGAGTTGATAATAATTTAGGATTTGGTGCAAAGTTTGGTCTTAGGTGCAAATTAAACTTAAACAAGACGTGAGACCAGGCAGGTGAGGGTTGGTGTCCGATTCAGCGAATGAGAGGAACCGAGCCAATGGGAGGGATATTACCCACAATTCCCCACGTTACCCACAAGTCAACACGTTACCCACAAGTCCACACGTTACCCACAAGTCCACACGTTACCCACAAGTCCACACGTTACCCACCAGTCCACACGTTACCCACAAGTCCACACGTTACCCACAAGTCCACACGTTACCCACAATTCCACACGTTACCCACAATTCCCCACGTTACCCACAATTCCCCACGTTACCCACCAGTCCACACGTTACCCACAAGTCCACACGTTACCCACAAGTCCACACGTTACCCACAAGTCCACATGTTACCCACAAGTCAACACGTTACCCACAATTCCCCACGTTACTCACCAGTCTACACGTTACCCACAATTCCCCACGTTACCCACAAGTCCACACGTTACCCACAATTCCCCACGTTACCCACAATTCCCCACGTTACCCACAAGTCCACACGTTACCCACAAGTCCACACGTTACCCACAAGTCCACACGTTACCCACAAGTCCACACGTTACCCACAATTCCCCACGTTACCCACAAGTCCACACGTTACCCACAATTCCCCACGTTACCCACAAGTCCACACGTTACCCACAATTCCCCACGTTACCCACAAGTCTACACGTTACCCACAAGTCTCCCCCCCACCGCCCCCCCACCGCTCCCCCACCGCTCCCCCACCGCTCCCCCACCGCTCCCCCACCGCCCGCCCCCCCCACCGCCCCCCCCACCCCAGGTCCTGCGGGGATCGGACGCGGAGCGCGTGGGGCTGAGGGAGGGTGACCAGGTGCTGGCCGTCAACGCCGTCGACTTCCAGGACATTGAGCATGCCAAGGTGAGGCACGGGGGGGGGGCACGGGGGGGGGGCACGGGGGGGGTCACGGGGGGGGCACAGGGGGGGCACGGGGGGGGCACAGGGGGGGGGGGCACGAAGAGTTGAGGACGGGACACTTGGACCAAAAGGATGTGAGAAAATATTGTTCCTCTCCCCCCACCCCCCCACCCCCCCACCCCCCCCATCCCCCACCCCTCACCCACCCCCACCCCTTGCCGCCAGGCTGTGGAGGTGCTCAAGTCCTCCACTGAAATCACCATGCGGGTTCGCTTCTTCCCTTACGGTGTGACGCGCACACACACACACACACGCGCACACAGGCACACAAAGCACGCACACACACACACACAAAGCACGCACACACACACACACGCACGCACACACACACGCACACACAGGCACACACGCACGCACACACACACGCACACACACACACACGCACACACACACACACGCACACACACACACACGCACACACACGCACACACGCACATAACAACAACCGCCATTCGCCACTAAGTGGCGGTGACGTCACCACGACGCTTGTGCCAGGCTATGTGCACCTTGAGGCCACGTGAAGTGTCGAACGCCCGCTGGCAGGAGGTCACGGGGCAGACCCAGGTGCCACGGGTCGACTGACTGAGATGACTGGCTGATGCACCACCTGTGCCCCCTACTGTGCCAACCTGCTGTGCTTTAGCCACCCGGCGCTCCGTTCGTTGTTGTGAGCGTCGCTCCTCTGCCCTCCGTTGTTGTTGGAGGGCGACTACCTCCAACTGCCCAGTAGCATCCTTCACGAGCCTCCTCCACAGAGGCCGATCTTGACACCGCTGGTACCAGTCATCGGCAAGTCCACTCAGCTCCACGTCCTCCTGTACCACGTCACTCCATCTCTTCTCTAGCCCGTGCCGCGCCCGTTTAGCCCCCTCGATCCGGCCGAACAAAAGCTGTTTCGGCATGCGGTAGCTGGGCATGCGGGCTACATGACCCAGCCAACGCAGCCTTGCCTGCCGGAGGAGCTCACCGATGGGACCTTGCCCAGATCTTTCAAGGATTTGTGAGCTCCTTACACAATCCAGTCTGGTTAAACCCAAGATGGATCGTGGGCAGGCCAGCCTAAATGTTTCTAACCAGCGAAGATGTTCCATTAGGGGGGTCCACGTTTCGCAAGCGTAGAGAAGGGAGGGAATGACCGTGGCCGAGAAGACCTGAAGCTTAGTGCGGAGCGACAGACCAGGTAGCTTCCACACAGCGTTACGCAACCGATGAAAAGATATTGCCGCTCGACTGATTCGGAGTGAGACCTCTGCTGTTAAACTGGAGCCGGTCATAAGCACACTGCCCAGGTATGGGAAACTCTCCACTCTCTCCACAACTACCCTATCACTGATTGGGAGTTATGGGGGTGGAGTGTCCGAAGGTTCAAAATACCCAGGCAGGTGCTTAGTTTTGGTGGGGCTGATGGTAAGGCCCCATCTCTTAGTGGCACGCTCCAGTCTCAGCAGCAGCGTCTCCAACTCCTCCTCTGAATGAGCAGCTATTACCAAATCATCGGCATACATAACGTGGTTGAGCAATAGGGAGCCATCCCTTGACCGCACCCGGGCATCGATCAGCCTCTCATTATATCTGTACCATATGGAGATTCCCCCGGTACAGCTATTGAAGGCTTATCGAACTACGTGGTAAAAATAGATGTTAAATAATGTGGGGGCCAGAGGACATTCCTGTCGCACCCCAAGGTGTACAGGGAATGGCTCTGACTCCCGGCCACGTAGTTTTACCCGGGCCCGCTCACCATCATGAAGGTCCTTAATGATCGTGAGCAGATGGTCAGGGACTCCAAAAGCACGAAGAACAACCCAGAGCCCAGGCCTACTGATGGTATCATAGGCCTTGACCAGGTCAATAAAGCAGAGTTGTAGGTCTTGCTGGAATTCCCTACACCTCTGCTGTAGCAGACGGACAGAAAATATGGCATCTGTGCAGGACCACCCTTTCCTGAAACCGCATTGGGGCTCCGCAAGCCTCTCCTCAGCGTGCCTGGCAAGGCGATGTTGAATAATCCTTGCCAGGACCTTTCCCCGCACACTGAGGAGTGAGATGCCCCTGTAGTTGTTACAGTCTGTGCGGTCCCCCTTCTTAAAGAGGGGGACCACCAGGGCATCCTTCCAATCCTACGGAACCCGTCCAGTGGCCCAGACTGTTGTTATGATGTCATGTAGGGCAGTCTGTGCACAAACGCCACCCTCCCTCAGCATTTCGCTTGGGAGATCATCTCTGCCCGCTGCCTTTCCTGGTCTCAGACTCCGGATCGCCTTCAGTACTTCCTCAACAGATGGCACCTCAGCCAGCCACTCACAGGTACTAACACACACACACACACGCGTACTAACACACACACTCGCCCTCCCCTCCCCCCCACCACGTTCCATTCCAGGGTTCCGCCGGCAGACGGAACGCAACACGTGAGGGGTCAGCGTGACCCCGTGATGACCCCGTGATGACCCCGCGACGACCCCGTGACGACCCCGCGACGACCCCGCGACGACCCCGCGACGACCCCGCGACCAGCTCGCAAATACTTGTGGTTAAAATTTTATTCGGCGCTTTGAACGTTAACTTTTGTGTGTGTGGTGGAGGAGCGACGGAGGGAATGAGTTCACATCAACTGCGTGGAGAATAACGCGGAGAATGAGTTGATGTCACCGCAGGGAGCGAGTTGGTGTGTGGTGGGGGATGTGTGTTGAACTTCTTTCGCTCCGTACGTAGCCAACCGTGCTAATCGTAGACGTGAACTACGTGCATAGGGGAGTAACATCAGGAATGAATGAACTGTGTGTGGCAGAATGACGTCGCGAATGAGTTTGTTCCCTCTGGGTTTAGTGAAGGACTTGATCCCAAATAAAACAATGGCGATCTCGTCTCGTTCTCCCCGTCTCGTCTGCATCGCGTTTCTCGCCTGTTCCGTCTCGTTCCTCGCCTGTTCCGTCTCGTTCCTCGCTTGTTCCGTCTCGTTCCTCGCTTGTTCCGTCTCGTTCCTCGCCTGTTCCGTCTCGTTCCTCGCCTGTTCCGTCTCGTTCCTCGCCTGTTCCGTCTCGTTCCTCGCCTGTTTCGTCTCGTTCCTCGCTTGTTCCATCTCGTTCCTCGCCTGTTCCGTCTCGTTCCTCGCCTGTTCCGTCTCGTTCCTCGCCTGTTCCGTCTCGTTCCTCGCTTGTTCCGTCTCGTTCCTCGCCTGTTCCATCTCGTTCCTCGCCTGTTCCGTCTCGTTCCTTGCCTGTTCCGTCTCGTTCCTCGCCTGTTCCGTCTCGTTCCTCGCCTGTTCCGTCTCGTTCCTCGCCTGTTCCGTCTCGTTCCTCGCCTGTTCCGTCTCGTTCCTCGCCTGTTCTGTCTCGTTCCTCGCTTGTTTTATCTGGTTCCTCGCTTGTTCCATATCGTTCCTCGCCTGTTCTGTCTCGTTCCTCGCCTGTTCTGTCTCGTTCCTCGCTTGTTTTATCTGGTTCCTCGCTTGTTCCATCTCGTTCCTCGCTTGTTTTATCTGGTTCCTCGCTTGTTCCGTCTCGTTGCTCGCTTGTTCCGTCTCGTTCCTCGCCTGTTCCGTCTCGTTCCTCGCTTGTTCCGCCGACGATGTTAAAGTTAGTGTTGATAATTCTGAATGTAGACAATGATGATGACGGTCGATGTCGGTCTAACCTCCAGTCCAGCGACACTTTGCTCCCGTCCGATAACATCTCCCATCACACACCTGATGATGGTTTTCACACCTGATGATGATTGCTTGTGTTGCAGTCGAAACGTCGTGAGAATTGTATTGTTTAATATTTTTATTATTTTATTGTTTCCCCTCTACGTGGTGACTTTACCGAAAGACCCAGGAATATCGATCTCCCATCACCTTAGGCATCGCCCCTCCCCTCTCGAGTCCCGCTGGCCCCCCCCAGAATCCCCGGGCCCCGTGGACTAAGGGGGAGCGCCCCCCCCTTCAGCATCCCCGACGCCCTTCTGCCCGCCTCTGAGATACGAGTCACGTGAAACCTGGAGGGAGAAACCGACGAACCCCGGTTAGGGTCCCACCACGGGGGGGGGGGGGGGGGGGGGGGGGGGGGGGCCGGGGGGGCATGGGGGGGGGCTGGGGTGGTGATGTTGCCGCTACCCACTGCCGTGGGTTGAGTGATTTGCGGGAGATTTCTCAGCAGTGGGGGAACGTGTTTTTGTTTTTGTTTTGTCTGTCCCAACTCCAGTTCCACCGTGGGTGTGGGTTTAGCTGTGGCAGGTGGGGGGGGGGGAGCGGTCAAGCCCTGCACACTCGTGTACACTTGACACGTACACTCTGTACGCACGTGTACACCTCTACACTCACACACTCGTGTACACTTCTACACTCACACACTCGTGTACACTTCTACACTCACACACTTGTGTACACTTCACACGTACACTCACACACTCTCGTGTACACTTCACACGTAGACTCTGCACACTCGTGTACACGTCACACGTACACTCTGTACTCACGTGTTCACCTCTACACTCACACACTCGTGTACACTTCTACACTCACTCTCGTGTACACTTCACACGTACACTCTGCACACTCGTGTACACTTCACACGTACACTTTGTACTCACGTGTTCACCTCTACACTCACACACTCGTGTACACTTCTACACTCACTCACACTCTCGTGTACACTTCACACGTACACCCTGCACACTCGTACACTTCACACGTACACTCACACACTCGTGTTCACCTCTACACTCAATCACACACTCGTGTACACTTCACACGTACACTCTGCACACTCGTGTACACTTCACACGTACACTCTGTACTCACGTGTTCACCTCTACACTCACACACTCGTGTACACTTCACACGTACACTCACACACTCGTGTACACTTCTACACTCACTCACACTCTCGTGTACACTTCACACGTACACCCTGCACACTCGTGTACACTTCACACGTACACTCACACACTCGTGTTCACCTCTACACTCACTCACACACTCGTGTACACTTCACACGTACACCCTGTACACTCGTGTACACTTCACAGGTACATTCTGTACTCTCGTGTACACTTCGTCACTCACACTCTCGTGTACACTTCGTCACACTGCACGCTCACGTACACTTCGTCACGCACTCTGCTCGCTCGTGTACACTTCGTCACACAGACGAAGACGCGGTAGCTCTGTGATGTCTACTTCAAGACGAAGGGGTCTCTGGGGGTAGCTCTGGGGGTAGCTGGGGGGTAGCTCTGGGGGTAGCTCTGGGGGTAGCTGGGTGTAGCTGGGGGTCTCTGGGGGTGGCTGTGGGGGTGGCTCTGGGGGTGGCTCTGGGGGTGGCTGTGGGGGTGGCTCTGGGGGTGGCTCTGGGGGTAGCTCTGGGGGTGGCTCTGGGGGTAGCTCTGGGGGTAGCTGGGGTCTCTGGGGGTAGCTGGGGGTCTCTGGGGGTGGCTATGGGGGTAGCCGGGGGTCTCTGGGGGTGGCTCTGGGGGTAGCTCTGGGGGTAGCTGGGGGTAGCTCTGGGGGTAGCTCTGGGGGTGGCTCTGGGGGTAGCTGGGGTAGCTCTGGGGGTGGCTCTGGGGGTCTCTGGGGGTAGCTCTGGGGGTAGCTCTGGGGGTAGCTCTGGGGGTGGCTCTGGGGGTAGTTCTGGGGGTAGCTCTGGGGGTAGCTCTGGGGGTAGCTCTGGGGGTGGCTATGGGGGTAGCTATGGGGGTAGCTATGGGGGTGGCTATGGGGGTGGCTCTGGGGGTGGCTGTGGGGGTGGCTCTGGGGGTGGCTGTGGGGGTGGCTCTGGGGGTGGCTCTGGGGGTAGCTCTGGGGGTCTCTGGGGGTAGCTCTATGAAAGTGGGGGTCCCACTTTGGCGGCAGGGGGGGCTCCAGAAGACAACTCACCGGCCCACGGACAGCTTGGCCCCCTCCCCCGCGGCTCGCGTCTTGGCGACCCCCCTGGCGAGACCCCCGATCTCCCGGGCCCCCTCAACCGCGTCCGGGGGTCTCCGCAGGGCGAACCCGGAGCCCCCCCACCCGGCCCACGCTTGAGCCGGGGTGGCGAGGCTCCACCTCCTGGGGCCGCGGGGCCCAGGGGGTGGAGCCTCGCGGGGCCCTGGGGGTGGAGCCTCGCGGGGCCCAGGGGGTGGAGCCTCGCGGGGCCCAGGAGGTGGAGCCTCGCGGGGCCCTCCCCCTCGCGGGGCTCCCCCGGGGTCCCCGCCCGGCACCGCCGCCGCCACCGCCCCCCGCCGCCGAGGGGGCGGGGGGCGGCGGGGGGCGGAGTCCGGCAAGGGGAGCCAGAGGAGCGATGGGGCCGGGGTGACTCTGTTCAGGGGGGCGGGGGGAGGGTGAGTGAGGGGTGAGTGCGGGGTGAGTGAGGGGTGAGTGTGGGGTGAGTGAGGGGTGAGTGAGGGGTGAGTGCGGGGTGAGTGCGGGGTGAGTGAGGGGTGAGTGAGGGGTGAGTGTGGGGTGAGTGTGGGGTGAGTGAGGGGTGAGTGAGGGGTGAGTGAGGGGTGAGTGTGGGGTGAGTGAGGGGTGAGTGAGGGGTGAGTGTGGGGTGAGTGTGGGGTGAGTGAGGGGTGAGTGTGGGGTGAGTGAGGGGTGAGTGAGGGGTGAGTGAGGGGTGAGTGTGGGGTGAGTGTGGGGTGAGTGTGGGGTGAGTGAGGGGTGAGTGAGGGGTGAGTGTGGGGTGAGTGTGGGGTGAGTGTGGGGTGAGTGAGGGGTGAGTGAGGGGTGAGTGCGGGGTGAGTGCGGGGTGAGTGCGGGGTGAGTGAGTGAGGGGTGAGTGAGGGGTGAGTGAGGGGTGAGTGTGGGGTGGGTGAGGGGTGAGTGAGGGGTGATTGTGGGGTGAGTGCGGGGTGAGTGAGGGGTGAGTGCGGGGTGAGTGAGGGGTGAGTGAGGGGTGAGTGCGGGGTGAGGGGTGAAGGGTGAGTGTGGGGTGAGTGAGGGGTGAGTGTGGGGTGATTGAGGGGTGAGTGCGGGGTGAGTGCGGGGTGAGTGCGGGGTGAGGGGTGAAGGGTGAGTGAGGGGTGAGTGAGGGGTGAGTGTGGGGTGAGTGCCGGGTGAGTGAGGGGTGAGTGAGGGGTGAGTGAGGGGTGAGGGGTGAGTGAGGGGTGAGGGGTGAGTGAGGGGTGAGGGGTGAGTGAGGGGTGAGGGGTGAGTCAGGAGTGAGGGGGTGAGGGGTGAGTGAGGGGTGAGGGGTGAGTGAGGGGTGAGGGGTGAGTGAGGGGTGAGGGGTGAGTGAGGGGTGAGGGGTGAGGGAGGGGTGAGGGGTGAGTGTGGGTGAGTGCGGGGTGAGTGAGCGGTGAGTGAGCGGTGAGTGTGGGGTGAGTGCGGGGTGAGTGCGGGGTGAGTGCGGGGTGAGTGTGGGGTGAGTGTGGGGTGAGTGAGGGGTGAGTGTGGGGTGAGTGAGGGGTGAGTGAGGGGTGAGTGAGGGGTGAGTGAGGGGTGAGTGAGGGGTGAGTGAGGGGTGAGTGTGGGGTGAGTGAGGGGTGAGTATGGGGTGAGTGAGGGGTGAGTGAGGGGTGAATGAGGGGTGAGTGTGGGGTGAGTGTGGGGTGAGTGTGGGGTGAGTGTGGGGTGAGTGTGGGGTGAGTGTGGGGTGAGTGAGGGGTGAGTGTGGGGTGAGTGTGGGGTGAGTGTGGGGTGAGTGTGGGGTGAGTGTGGGGTGAGTGAGGGGTGAGTGCGGGGTGAGTGAGTGTGGGTGAGTGAGGGGTGAGTGTGGGGTGAGTGAGGGGTGAGTGAGGGGTGAGTGAGGGGTGAGTGAGGGGTGAGGGGTGCGGGGTGAGTGTGGGGTGAGTGTGGGGTGAATGAGGGGTGAGTGTGGGGTGAGTGAGGGGTGAGTGAGGGGTGAGTGCGGGGTGAGGGGTGAAGGGTGAGTGAGGGGTGAGTGTGGGGTGAGTGTGGGGTGAGTGAGGGGTGAGTGTGGGGTGATTGAGGGGTGAGTGCGGGGTGAGTGCGGGGTGAGTGCGGGGTGAGGGGTGAAGGGTGAGTGAGGGGTGAGTGAGGGGTGAGTGAGGGGTGAGTGTGGGGTGAGTGTGGGGTGAGTGCCGGGTGAGTGAGGGGTGAGTGAGGGGTGAGTGAGGGGTGAGGGGTGAGTGAGGGGTGAGTGAGGGGTGAGGGGTGAGTGAGGGGTGAGGGGTGAGTCAGGGGTGAGGGGTGAGTGAGGGGTGAGGGGTGAGTGAGGGGTGAGGGGTGAGTGAGGGGTGAGGGGTGAGTGTGGGTGAGTGAGGGGTGAGTGTGGGTGAGTGCGGGGTGAGTGAGCGGTGAGTGAGCGGTGAGTGTGGGGTGAGTGTGGGGTGAGTGCGGGGTGAGTGAGGGGTGAGTGTGGGGTGAGTGAGGGGTGAGTGTGGGGTGAGTGAGGGGTGAGTGAGGGGTGAGTGAGGGTGAGTGAGGGGTGAGTGTGGGGTGAGTGTGGGGTGAGTGAGGGGTGAGTGTGGGGTGAGTGAGAGGTGAGTGCGGGGTGAGTGAGGGGTGAGTGTGGGGTGAGGGGTGCGGGGTGAGTGAGGGGTGAGTGGTGCGGGGTGAGTGAGGGGTGAGTGAGGGGTGGGTGTGGGGTGAGTGTGGGGTGAGTGAGGGGTGAGTGTGGGGTGAGTGAGAGGTGAGTTGTGGGTGAGTGTGGGGTGATTGAGGGGTGAGGGAGGCGTGAGTGCGGGGTGAAGGGTGAGTGAGGGGTGAGTGAGTGGTGAGTGAGGGGTGAGTGTGGGGTGAGTGCGGGGTGAGTGCGGGGTGAGTGAGGGGTGAGTGTGGGGTGAGTGTGGGGTGAGTGTGGGGTGAGTGAGGGGTGAGTGTGGGGTGAGTGAGGGGTGAGTGAGGGGTGAGTGTGGGGTGAGTGAGGGGTGAGTGTGGGGTGAGTGAGGGGTGAGTGTGGGGTGAGTGTGGGGTGAGTGAGGGGTGAGTATGGGGTGAGTGAGGGGTGAGTGAGGGGTGAATGAGGGGTGAGTGTGGGGTGAGTGTGGGGTGAGTGTGGGGTGTGTGTTGGGTGAGTGTGGGGTGAGTGTGGGGTGAGTGTGGGGTGAGTGAGGGGTGAGTGTGGGGTGAGTGAGGGGTGAGTGTGGGGTGAGTGTGGGGTGAGTGTGGGGTGAGTGAGGGGTGAGTGCGGGGTGAGTGAGTGTGGGTGAGTGAGGGGTGAGTGAGGGGTGAGTGTGGGGTGAGTGAGGGGTGAGTGAGGGGTGATTGTGGGGTGAGTGCGGGGTGAGTGAGGGGTGAGGGGTGAGTGTGGGGTGAGGGGTGCGGGGTGAGTGAGGGGTGAGTGAGGGGTGAGTGTGGGGTGAATGTGGGGTGAGTGAGGGGTGAGTGTGGGGTGAGTGAGGGGTGAGTGTGGGGTGAGTGAGGGGTGAGTGCGGGGTGAGGGGTGAAGGGTGAGTGAGGGGTGAGTGTGGGGTGAGTGTGGGGTGAGTGAGGGGTGAGTGTGGGGTGAGTGTGGGGTGAGTGTGGGGTGATTGAGGGGTGAGTGCGGGGTGAGTGCGGGGTGAGTGCGGGGTGAGGGGTGAAGGGTGAGTGAGGGGTGAGTGAGGGGTGAGTGAGGGGTGAGTGTGGGGTGAGTGTGGGGTGAGTGCCGGGTGAGTGAGGGGTGAGTGAGGGGTGAGGGGTGAGTGAGGGGTGAGTGAGGGGTGAGGGGTGAGTGAGGGGTGAGGGGTGAGTCAGGGGTGAGGGGTGAGTCAGGGGTGAGGGGTGAGTGAGGGGTGAGGGGTGAGTGAGGGGTGAGGGGTGAGGGAGGGGTGAGGGGTGAGTGTGGGTGAGTGAGGGGTGAGTGTGGGTGAGTGAGCGGTGAGTGAGCGGTGAGTGAGCGGTGAGTGTGGGGTGAGTGTGGGGTGAGTGCGGGGTGAGTGAGGGGTGAGTGTGGGGTGAGTGAGGGGTGAGTGTGGGGTGAGTGAGGGGTGAGTGAGGGGTGAGTGTGGGGTGAGTGAGGGGTGAGTGTGGGGTGAGTGTGGGGTGAGTGAGGGGTGAGTGTGGGGTGAGTGCGGGGTGAGTGTGGGGTGAGGGGTGCGGGGTGAGTGAGGGGTGAGTGAGGGGTGAGTGTGGGGTGAGTGTGGGGTGAGTGAGGGGTGAGTGTGGGGTGAGTGAGAGGTGAGTGCGGGGTGAGTGCGGGGTGAGTGTGGGGTGAGGGGTGCGGGGTGAGTGAGGGGTGAGTGGTGCGGGGTGAGTGAGGGGTGAGTGAGGGGTGGGTGTGGGGTGAGTGTGGGGTGAGTGTGGGGTGAGTGAGGGGTGAGTGTGGGGTGAGTGAGAGGTGAGTTGTGGGTGAGTGTGGGGTGATTGAGGGGTGAGGGAGGCGTGAGTGCGGGGTGAGTGCGGGGTGAGGGGTGAAGGGTGAGTGAGGGGTGAGTGAGGGGTGAGTGAGGGGTGAGTGAGGGGTGAGTGTGGGGTGAGTGCCGGGTGAGTGAGGGGTGAGTGAGGGGTGAGGGGTGAGTGAGGGGTGAGGGGTGAGTGAGGGGTGAGGGGTGAGTGAGGGGTGAGGGGTGAGTGAGGGGTGAGGGGTGAGTGAGGGGTGAGTGCGGGGTGAGTGCGGGGTGAGTGCGGGGTGAGTGAGGGGTGAGTGCGGGGTGAGTGTGGGGTGAGTGCGGGGTGAGTGAGGGGTGAGTGTGGGGTGAGGGGTGAGGGGTGAGTGAGGGGTGAGTGAGGGGTGAGGGGTGAGTGAGGGGTGAGGGGTGAGTGTGGGGTGAGTGTGGGGTGAGTGTGGGTGAGTGAGGGGTGAGTGAGTGGTGATTGAGTGGTGAGTGAGGGGTGCGGGGTGAGTGCGGGGTGAGTGCGGGGTGAGTGCGGGGTGAGTGAGGGGTGAGTGTGGGGTGAGTGAGGGGTGAGTGCGGGGTGAGTGCGGGGTGAGTGAGGGGTGAGTGAGGGGTGAGTGCGGGGTGAGTGCGGGGTGAGTGTGGGGTGAGTGTGGGGTGAGTGTGGGGTGAGTGTGGGGTGAGTGAGGGGTGAGTGAGGGGTGAGTGAGGGGTGAGTGTGGGGTGAGTGTGGGGTGAGTGTGGGGTGAGGTGAGGGGTGAGTGAGGGGTGAGTGCGGGGTGAGTGTGGGGTGAGTGAGTGTGGGTGAGTGAGGGGTGAGTGAGGGATGAGTGTAGGGTGAGTGTGGGGTGAGTGCGGGGTGAGTGTGGGGTGAGTGAGGGGTGAGTGCGGGGTGAGTGTGGGGTGAGTGAGGGGTGAGTGAGGGGTGAGTGAGGGGTGAGTGCGGGGTGAGTGTGGGGTGAGTGAGGGGTGAGTGCGGGGTGAGTGCGGGGTGAGTGAGTGTGGGTGAGTGTGGGGTGAGTGAGGGGTGAGTGTGGGGTGAGTGTGGGGTGAGTGAGGGGTGAATGAGGGGTGATTGTGGGGTGAGTGCGGGGTGAGTGAGGGGTGAGGGGTGAGTGTGGGGGTGAGGGGTACGGGGTGAGTGAGGGGTGAGTGAGGGGTGAGTGTGGGGTGAATGTGGGGTGAGTGAGGGGTGAGTGTGGGGTGAGTGAGGGGTGAGTGAGGGGTGAGTGAGGGGTGAGTGCGGGGTGAGGGGTGAAGGGTGAGTGAGGGGTGAGTGTGGGGTGAGTGTGGGGTGAGTGAGGGGTGAGTGTGGGGTGATTGAGGGGTGAGTGCGGGGTGAGTGCGGGGTGAGGGGTGAAGGGTGAGTGAGGGGTGAGTGAGGGGTGAGTGTGGGGTGAGTGTGGGGTGAGTGCCGGGTGAGTGCCGGGTGAGTGAGGGGTGAGTGAGGGGTGAGTGAGGGGTGAGGGGTGAGTGAGGGGTGAGGGGTGAGTGAGGGGTGAGGGGTGAGTCAGGGGTGAGGGGTGAAGGGTGAGGGGTGAGTGAGGGGTGAGGGAGGGGTGAGGGGTGAGTGTGGGTGAGTGTGGGTGAGTGAGGGGTGAGTGTGGGTGAGTGTGGGTGAGTGCGGGGTGAGTGCGTGGTGAGTGAGCGGTGAGTGAGCGGTGAGTGTGGGGTGAGTGTGGGGTGAGTGAGCGGTGAGTGCGGGGTGAGTGCGGGGTGAGTGCGGGGTGAGTGCGGGGTGAGTGCGGGGTGAGTGAGGGGTGAGTGTGGGGTGAGTGTGGGGTGAGTGTGGGGTGAGTGTGGGGTGAGTGAGGGGTGAGTGAGGGGTGAGTGTGGGGTGAGTGCGGGGTGAGTGCGGGGTGAGTGAGGGGTGAGTGTGGGGTGAGGGGTGCGGGGTGAGTGAGGGGTGAGTGAGGGGTGAGTGTGGGGTGAGTGTGGGGTGAGTGAAGGGTGAGTGTGGGGTGAGTGAGAGGTGAGTTGTGGGTGAGTGTGGGGTGATTGAGGGGTGAGGGAGGCGTGAGTGCGGGGTGAGTGCGGGGTGAGGGGTGAAGGGTGGGTGAAGGGTGAGTGAGGGGTGAGTGTGGGGTGAGTGAGGGGTGAGTGAGGGGTGAGTGTGGGGTGAGTGTGGGGTGAGTGCCGGGTGAGTGAGGGGTGAGTGAGGGGTGAGTGAGGGGTGAGGGGTGAGGGGTGAGTGAGGGGTGAGGGGTGAGTGAGGGGTGAGGGGTGAGTGAGGGGTGAGGGGTGAGTGAGGGGTGAGGGGTGAGTGAGGGGTGAGTGTGGGTGAGTGAGGGGTGAGTGCGGGGTGAGTGCGGGGTGAGTGAGGGGTGAGTGCGGGGTGAGTGTGGGGTGAGTGAGGGGTGAGGGGTGAGGGGTGAGTGAGGGGTGAGTGAGGGGTGAGGGGTGAGTGAGGGGTGAGGGGTGAGTGTGGGGTGAGTGTGGGGCGAGTGTGGGGTGAGTGTGGGGTGAGTGAGGGGTGAGTGTGGGGTGAGTGTGGGGTGAGTGTGGGGTGAGTGAGGGGTGAGTGTGGGGTGAGTGAAGGTGAGTGTGGGGTGAGTGAGGGGTGAGTGTGGGGTGAGTGAGGGGTGAGTGTGGGGTGAGTGAGTGGTGAGTGAGGGGTGAGTGTGGGTGAGGGGTGAGTGTGGGGTGAGTGAGGGGTGAGTGTGGGGTGAGTGAGGGGTGAGTGTGGGGTGAGTGCGGGGTGAGTGCGGGGTGAGTGAGGGTGAGTGTGGGGTGAGTGAGAGGTGAGTGAGGGGTGAGTGTGGGGTGAGTGAGGGTGAGTGAGGGGTGAGTGTGGGGTGAGTGAGGGTGAGTGTGGGGTGAGTGACGGGTGAGTGTGGGGTGAGTGAGGGGTGAGTGTGGGGTGAGTGAGCGGTGAGTGTGGGGTGAGTGAGCGGTGAGTGTGGGGTGAGTGAGGGGTGAGTGAAGGGTGAGTGAGGGGTGAGTGTGGGGTGAGTGAGGGGTGAGTGTGGGGTGAGTGAGGGGTGAGTGTGGGGTGAGTGTGGGGTGAGTGAGGGGTGAGTGTGGGGTGAGTGAGGGGTGAGTGTGGGGTGAGTGAGGGGTGAGTGTGGGGTGAGTGAGGGGTGAGTGTGGGGTGAGTGAGGGGTGAGTGTGGGGTGAGTGAGGGGTGAGTGTGGGGTGAGTGAAGGTGAGTGTGGGGTGAGTGAAGGTGAGTGTGGGGTGAGTGAGGGGTGAGTGTGGGGTGAGTGAGGGGTGAGTGTGGGGTGAGTGTGGGGTGAGTGAGGGGTGAGTGTGGGGTGAGTGAGGGTGAGTGTGCGGTGAGTGAGGGGTGAGTGAGGGTGAGTATGGGGTGAGTGTGGGGTGAGTGTGGGGTGAGTGTGGGGTGAGTGTGGGGTGAGTGTGGGGTGAGTGAGGGTGAGTGTGGGGTGAGTGAGGGGTGAGTGAGGAGTGAGTGCGGGGTGAGTGAGGGGTGAGTGAGGGGTGCTGCTCACGTGTCGGGTCTTTGCTGGTGCTGCTGCAGGGCGAATAGGGCGTTGTGATTGGCTGGGTTCTCCGTGACGAGGCGGGCGATGCGGCGAATCATCTCCTCCTCCGAGTCCATTCCTGCAGGTCAACCAGGAGGTCAACCAGGAGGTCAAAGAGCACATCAACCAATCAACGAGACGGTCAACAGGGAGTTCAGCCAGAAGATCAACTGCTCTGACAACCAACACCATCACCAAAGACAAAGATCCCCCGTATAGCCTTGGCAGACTGTAGGGGCGAGTGCAGTTAGTGAGCACCACGACCTTTGTCTCCCCAGTGGCAATGTTTACACACCGCACCAGGTACTCATTTGAGGCTGAGTCGACCTAGTGGAGGCCCGGGACCGGTTCAGATAATCGTCACCACTGTTGGCCGTAAGCGGGAAGCGAACTCGGGTCACCGGGTTCGTAGCGCAGCGTGGCGCTAATCGCTGCACCACCGCTCCCACACAGGCAACCGGGAGATCAGCCAGGAGATCAACTCCTCTGCCAAACACCAGCACCAACACCACGACCACCACCGCCACCACCGTCACCACAGCCACCACCACCACCGCCACCGCCACCGCCATCACCACCGTCACCACCGCCATCACCACCGCCACCACCACCGCCATCACCGCCACCACCACCGCCGCCACCACCACCACCACCACCGTCACCACCGCCACCACCGTCACCACCAGCACCACCACCACCACCGCCGCCACCGCCACCACCGCCACCGCCACCACCACCGCCGCCACCACCACCACCACCACCGTCACCACCGCCACCACCACCACCGTCACCACCACCACCACCACCACCGCCACCACCACCACCACCGCCACCACCACCACCACCGCCACCACCACCACCGCCACCACCACCACCGCCACCGCCGCCACGTCCTCACCGTCGACCGCGTCATCCTGCGGCCCAGCAGGGCCTCCGTGCCCCTTGGCCTCGGCCTTGCAGCGGTACCCCCGTCGCTGGAGGAGCTTGCAGAGGGAGATCCCGGCCAGGCCGAGCGCCAGGAAGGAGATGACCACGGCCACGGCCACGAGGTCCATGCCCCTGCCGTGGCCCACTCGCTCCCCTGGCGGGGGGGGGCCCTCGGGCGAGAGGCCCCCGCTCAGGTTGGTGACTTGGGGTGGCATGGGGGGGGGGGCGGGGGTGGAGACCCCCCTGGGATTCGCCTTCTTCACTCAGTCCCCTTGCTCCACCTCCTCTCGATTCACCTCTTCCTTCTCATCCTACTCTCAGACACACGCGGAATCGTGGGCACGCATACACACGGAATCATAGACACCCAGAATCAAAGGCACACATACACACGGAATCATAGACACCCAGAATCATAGGCACACATACACACGGAATCATAGGCATCCAGAATCATAGGCACATTTACACACAATCAGTCACGCACACACACAGAATCACAGACACTCAGAATCATAGACACACTTACACACAGCATCATAGGCACACATACATCATTCATCACAGACACATACACAGAATCATAGGTACACATACACACAAAATTATAGTCACATGTACACATATAATCAAACACCCAGATTCATAGGCACGTTAACACACGGAATCATAGACACACATACACACGTAATATAATCATAGACACACACATCGAAGCATAGACACACACACATAATCATAGACACACACAATCATAAATACATAGACACAGATGCACACAAGCACAGACACACATACAGACACATGCACACAGAATCATAGACATGCATAAACACACACACAGAAGAACACACAAGCACAGACACATATACAAAATACATACACACAGAAGCACATACACACATAAGCACAGACACACATACAGACAGACATACACAGAAGCACAGATCTACATACACACAGAAGCATAGACACACATACAACAACAACCGCCATTCGCCACTAAGTGGCGGTGACATCACCACGACGCTTGTGCCAGGCCATGTGCACCTTGAGGCCACGTGAAGTGTCGAACGCCCGCTGGCAGGAGGTCACGGGGCAGACCCAGGTGCCACGGGTCGACTGACTGAGATGACTGGCTGATGCACCACCTGTGCCCCCTACTGTGCCAACCTGCTGTGCTTTAGCCACCCGGCGCTCCGCTCGTTGTTGTGAGCGTCGCTCCTCCGCCCTCCGTTGTTGTTGGAGGGCGACTACCTCCAACTGCCTAGTAGCGTCCTTCACGAGCCTCCTCCACAGAGGCCGATCTTGACACCGCTGGTACCAGTCATCGGCGAGTCCACTCAGCTCCACGTCCTCCTGTACCACGTCACTCCATCTCTTCTCTAGCCCGTGCCGCGCCCGTTTAGCCCCCTCGATCCGGTCGAACAAAAGCTGTTTCGGCATGCGGTGGCTGAGCATGCGGGCTACATGACCCAGCCAACGCAGCCTTGCCCGCCGGAGGAGCTCACTGATGGACCGTGCCCAGATCTTTCAAGGATTTGTGAGCTCCTCACACAATCCAGCCTGGTTAAACCCAGGATGGATCGTAGGCAGGCCAGCCTAAATGTTTCTAACCGGCGAAGATGTTCCATTAGGGGGGTCCACGTTTCGCAAGCGTAGAGAAGGGAGGGAATGACCGTGGCCGAGAAGACCTGAAGCTTAGTGCGGAGCGACAGACCAGGTAGCTTCCACACAGCGTTACGCAACCGATGAAAAGATATTGCCGCTCGACTGATTCGGAGTGAGACCTCTGCTGTTAAACTGGAGCCGGTTATACAAAGACACACATACAGACATACATACACAGAAGCATAGACAATGATTCCGCACATCGCCTAATCAGACTTGGGACAAATGCACCAGGCACTCATTTGAGGCCGAGTCTACCTAGGGGGAGGAGACCCAGGACCGGTTCAGATAGTCGCCGCTGGGTGTTGGTGGTGACCCTGGGCAGGAATCAAACTCGGGTGGCCGGGTTCAGAGCGCAGCGCGCTCACCACTCCACTCGCTCTCACATGCACGCACTCCATCTCACTCACCCGGACAAACACTCACACACTCACACACAGTGTGCCACTCTCTCACAAGGCAAAGACCCCCCGTGTAACCTGTAACAGACTGTTGGGGCAAGCGCTGTTAGCGAGTAGCAGCACCGGTGAAGGCCGGCACGGCACACGAGGGGGTGGGTGGCCAGCACCCACGCCCGGCCGCCTTTGTCTCCCCAGTGGCGATGTTTACTGCACGCCGCACCAGGTACTCACTTGAGGCTGAGTCGACCTAGGGGAGGCCCAGTTCAGATAATCGTCACCGATGTTGGCCGTGAGCGGGAATCGAATCCTGGCGGCCGGGTTCATAGAGCAGCTCGCTAGCCACTCATATACACTCACACACACGTGCTAACACTCACACACACGTGCGACCACACACAAGTGCTAACACACACACACGTGCTAATACACATACGCAGACACACGTGCTAACACACACACACACACGTGCTAACACACTCGCAGACACACGTGCTAACACACACACGTGCTAACACACACACGTGCTAACACACACACGTGCTAACACACACACGTGCTAACACACATACGCAGACACACACGTGCTAACACACACACACGTGCTAACACACACATACGTAGACACACGTGCTAACACACACGTGCTAACACACACGTGCTAACACACGCACACGTGCTAACACACGCACACGTGCTAACACACACACGTGCTAACACACACACGTGCTAACACACGCACACACACACGTGCTAACACGCACACACGTGCGAACACACACGTACGCAGACACACGTGCTAACACACACGCAGACACACGTGCTAACATACACGTGCTAACACACACACAGATACACGTACTAACATACACGTGCTAACACACACAGATACACGTACTAACATACACGTGCTAACACACACAGACGAAGACACGTGCTAACACACACGCACACACGCGTGCGAACACACACACACGTGCTAACACACACACACACGTGCGAACATACACACACGTGCTAACACACACACGTGCTAACATACACACACACGTGCTAACACACACACGTGCTAACACACAGATACACGTGCTAACACACACGTGTTAACACACACAGACGAAGACACGTGCTAACACACACGCACACACACGTGCTAACAAACACACACACACATGCTAACACACAGATACACGTGCTAACACACGCACACACAGATACACGTACTAACATACACGTGCTAACACACACAGACGAAGACACGTGCTAACACACACGCACACACACGTGCTAACAAACACACACACACGTGCTAACACACACACACACACGTACGTGCTAACACACACACACACACGTGCTAACACACACACACACGCACACATAGTCTGTCGCATCGCTTAGGAGACAATCATATTTCAAAACTCTCACCGCTTGCGACACAAAACGGCAACTTTCCACTTGCGACAAAAAGCTGGGGGGCGATCCCATTGTAGACCCCCTTTCCAGGGATACCCATGGACCCCCACTACCACCACCACCACCCTCCCCTTCCTCCACAGGGTTACCCCTGTGCGTCAGGCAGAGGTCACGATTCCCTCCCCAATTCGCTCCCGCTCCGTTTCAGTTTCAGTTTATTTATGTTGGTATAGCCCTGTGAGCCATGCGGCTCTTGAATCGGGTGTAACCACAACACAACAAACAAAACAAAAACACGAACAAGAAAAACATCTTAAAGTGATTTTGTGTTGACTGTGCAAACAGAAAATCCATGAAAAAAAAAACAGCAAAAATATTCCTGAAAAAAGCACCGTACACCAACGCTGTGTACAAAAAAAATCCCAGTGGGATGCAAGTCAAACAACAACAACAACAACCACAAGACAACTTAGATTAAGGCCATCAGTCTAACTCCGTACTACAACAAAACAAACGTGTCCAAACCAAAACGCTTTTCGAAATCACCAAAAAATAAAGCCATAATTGCAACGTAACAGTGATCACAGGGACTGTGACCGAATTTTTCAATAAACTACATAAATAACACGTAACACCAAATCCTAGAGCCATAGCTGGCTGCATGAGTTACTCCACAACAACAGAGGCATCAGTCGGAGTATCACATTTTTCAATGCACCTTTAAGATCAGCACGCTAAATCAAAAATACAGATAATACTTTGCAGCGTCATCCGGAGCGAAACATTTTAACTTATTTTACGCCAATGACTGTCAATTTTTTTTGGTAATTTTTTTATTTTTTTCTCCTGATGACGATGGCTTGTGTTGCGATCGAAACGTCGTAGTTTTTTTTGTTCTTTTCTTTGAACTTATCTACGTGACTTTACCGAAAGACCCAAGAATTTGTATTCTATCTGTAACCAGGTAAATGCCCTCCTCCGCTAAGCTGCCACGAACTTCAGTCAGGCCGCTTGCCACAAGCAACGCCACCGTCACGAACGAGAATCATCTCGCCCAAGAGGGTCGTCGTCGTCATCATCATCACCGCGTGCCAATTCAAAGCAGCAGCCAAAGTTGCTCATAATAAAAGCCAAAGTTTCTCCAAACGCGTTGATGTCTCCTTCTTAATGTGGTGGTGGTGGTGGTGGAGGAGGAGGGGGTGGAGGGCAACCGGAGGAGCCGGAGACAAAATCCACGCAGTGACCACGGGGAGAGAGACCCAAAGACTCCAAATATACAGCAGCAGCAGCAGCAGGCATCGTCAGGGTCGGGATCGAACTCACGACCTACAGTAGACCAGGCGAGGTAGTTAACATCTCACCACGGAGAGAGAGAGACACGCAAACTCCAAATATACAGCAGCAGGCATCGTCAGGGTCGGGATTGAACTCACGACCTACAGTAGACCAGGCGAGGTATTTAACATCTCACCACAGAGAGAGAGAGAGAGACACGCACACTCCAAATATATAGCAGCAGGCATCGTCAGGGTCGGGATTGAACCCACGGCCTCCTGTAGATGAGGCGAGGTAGTTAATATCTCACCACAGAGAGAGAGAGACACGCAAACTCCAAATATACAGCAGCAGCAGGCGTCAGGGTCGGGATTGAACCCACGGCCTCCTGTAGATGAGGCGAGGTAGTTAACATCTCACCACAGAGCGAGAGAGACACACAGACTCCAAATATACAGCAGGTATCGTCAGGGTCGGGATTGAACCCACGACCTCCTGTAGACCAGGCGAGGTAGTCAACATCTCACCACGGAGAGAGATACGCAAACTCC